AGAGGAGCGCGTCAGATACTTAGCCTAATTAACACAGGTGGAGCGCACTCAAGTTAATCAACACCATGGCATAAATACAGCTGACTTACCTCTATCCATTGACGGTTTATCAGCATCCCTGCTCTGCCCCATCTCCTCACTTCGAGTTCATACTACACTTATACGGGGGGTACTCTAGGTTCGGACCATTCCCGAGCTCGGAGCCCTTCCCCGGACAGCACACCAAATATGCATTACCATACTTCAGCTAATTATATGTAAGCGTGAACTCGTGAAGTTTGTGTAGGCCAAGAAACCACACTGTGTAATGGCACAATAGGTGGCTCAGTGTGCATTGTCTATATGCTAAGTTTAATGGTTTCTCGTGCGTACATAAAAGTCTGTATATTTTATATTTTTGCAAAGGTCCTTGAGGCTATGTAATACTGTGCTAAGAATATTGTAAGAAGAAACCCAAAATGCTTATAATTCATTCAGTTGTATTTTGACTTTGACTTCTTGTACAATAAACTTATTTTCAATAAATTCTTAATTTTCTATTATAAAAAAAAAACTAAATGGGGCAAAAGTCTGGAAACACAAATACAACTGAATGAATTATAAGCGCAAAGGTCCTTGAGGCTATGTAATACTGTGCTAAGAATATTGTAAGAAGAAACCCAAAATGCTTATAATTCATTCAGTTGTATTTTGACTTTGACTTCTTGTACAATAAACTTATTTTCAATAAATTCTTAATTTTCTATTATAAAAAAAAAACTAAATGGGGCAAAAGTCTGGAAACACAAATACTTTTCCATACTCTGCTTTCTTTTTTCCATACTTTCCCAGACCTGGAAAGAACTTAAATCAAATTCCATGCTTTTACTTTTACAAACCCCGTAGGAACCCTGTTTTAATGTCTTGGAAATCTTCAGAATTTCTAAAGTAATAAAATTATTTCTTCTCTATAGCTTTTGTGAGAGCTCTGTTGACTTTGTCATATTAGCTACTCAAACTTGAGGACATGCATGGGCTAAATGTAAGGGTGTAACAGCCCAAGCTAATTCTCTTTTCTAATAGAGTTTCTAAAGGGTTAATTGTGTTTTAAGACTATTTTGTTCCCCACCATACAAATAAGTGACTAAAAAACAGCAATGTTGAACAGGGGTTGAATAATTATGACATAGCTGTGTTATTAAAAAAATTCTAGAACTCAAAAATATTACATTATATATTGACTATCACTTTTAATATGCCAGTAATCTGTTATAGATGCTATTTTTTTTTACAAAGTACTGGATCTTCAGAAAAGCTTGTATTAGTAAAGTATGCACTCTCTGGCGGTTGAATAATTTTGATTGCAACTGTGTGTGTGTGTGTGTGTGTGTATATATATATATATATATATATATATATAAAAAATAAAATTAAAAGTTTTTTTACATCCTGTTTTATCAATTTGTCACAGCTGTGATAAGAATTTGGTAATAATTTTATTTTATTTGTTTGAACGCTTCCATGTAGGCTCCTTGGTGCTTGCTGTGTGGAACATCGAAAAATATTCAGTAAAAAAACAAGAAAAGCCAGACAAAATGCATTTAAAGTCGCTGCGCTGTGTATTTATGTGTGAGGCGCGAGCACGCGAGGGGGCTAAGATTTTCACGGGGGGTCGGATTTCGGTACAACACCGGTCAAAAATCGATTCAAATGTGTGACGACACAAATCGGTTGAGATGCCAAACAAATCGCGATACAACTGGAGTAAGAGTTTATATGAATGTATTTCTGAGGGGAACTGACTATCTTTAGAAAAGTTTACGTGGTATTTTCTTTTCATGCCTCTGAACAATGCATATTAAAGTAGTATTCATAAGTGCAGTTCTGCTTTGTTTACAGCAGTAACCAAGGAAACACTGTATCACTGCTGTTCTTAAGCGCCACCTGCTGTCAGAGAGTGAATCTGCGTCTCATTCAGCTCGTCTGCTGTTTCGTCTGCTTGCAATCTATAGCTCCTTTTTATTTATTTATTTACTTATTTATGATGTTGACATGCAGTATCAGGGCTTGAAAATGCTGCCTAATGGCAATACCTAAATACTTTTGTTATCCTTACCCGAAAGTCTGTTCATTTCATTTGTATCTTTGTTCTATTGTATTTGTGCTGTTGTTTGTAATTTGTTTATTTGCTCTTAGTTTATTACTGACTGTTTAATTGTCTTTAACAATGTTTGAATGTTACATTAATAAGGCTATTCGTTTTTGCTGTTATCAAAATTGGAATTGTGAATTTTAAATGGTATGTAACATTTTGGTGTCAAAACCTTTTTAGAATACAAGGTTACCATTGGTTATACATGGTTATCATTCATGTCTGTAGTACAAACAAGGACAAGTTACAAGTTAACTGCAGATGTTAAATACTTAGTTTGCTCAAATCAAGTATGCAAGTGTGCAATAGTAATAGTGATGTTTGACTTGACAAACACCAATAATTAGCTTGTAAATCTCACCAGCTACGTTTGTTGTCGAAGAAGAGAACGAGGTAAAGTTTCTCTTCAGACTTGTACTGCATCTGTTCTCCGAACCGTAGAACGTCCAGCGGGGGCATTGGGATAGAGACTCCATTGTGCTGGCACCCCACTCGTGGCATGTGAGGGTCTACGATCTTTAATAAAACAAAAACATGTTACAGAAAATGAGGACAATCCTGAAAACAGTAAAATGACTGTCATTGTTTATAAATATCAATTACGATATACACTATTTAAAATTATTTTCACTTGTTATTAAATATATAGTCTATGTCAGGGGCATGGGCATCGCTACAAGGTGTGTGTTTATCGATAGATTGTTATAATATCTGCATCTGTGCAGTTCTTTGTCATAAATACAGTTTACAAAATATCATGGGGGAGCAATCGGTTCCCCATCTACTGTAGCCTAAGGTTTCACTGCGTTCACCCCTCATTACACCACAGGTTTCCTCCAGTGAAAATACACTGTCCTGCAAAGTTTAGCTCCAACTTACCTCAATACACCTGCCTAGAAGTTTCTAGTATGCCTAGTAAGACCTTGATTAGCTACTGTGTTTAATTGGGGTTGGAGCTAAACGCTGCAGGACAGTGGCCCTCCGGGAGCAGGACTGGACATCACTGGTCTATGTGATATATTGCTCTGGAGATCAATTTTTATTTTTTTTTATAATTCTAATAGTGCACTTTTGATTTCTGATCTAGTAAGATTTAATCTGACTGGCTGACTCCACACAACTTCTGGCACGCAGGTGTTTTTTATCAGTCCATTTGAAAACAAAGTTGTGAAATTTGCCAATGTTTGCAAGATTATGGAATTCTAGAAAGATATTTTTGTTTGAGACTACATCCAAAGGCCCAGGCATACACTCTCAAAGAAAAAGGTTAAAAAATGAGGCTATAAGAACCATTCTGGGTTCCCCAAATAAACTTTTCAAAGTTAAAGGCTGTTAAAGGTTCTTTGTGGAAACATAAGATGCAAATAAACAACCTTTATTTTTAAGATTCCATCTCATCCACAGTTGAGCATGCAGGCCTTTCAAAGTATAGTCCACTGACTGCGAGTGTGGATGGACATGTTCGGCACATGCACACTACCTTGTTGACCCTTCTGTTTGAGTGTTTAAATCACTCATACATGCATAGTTTTCTGTGGAGACAGAAAAATCAGGCTGCATGCAGAGGTTGTGCATGGACAATAGTGGATTGTGCTTGTGACAAAAATTACATCATGCACACTGACTGATAAATGATAACTTAAAAAATATAAAGATCCACCTACAGTTGTGTTTTAAAAGGTTTAGATACTGTTTCTAAGGCTATATAATCATACATTCTAAAAAAAAATAAAAAATAATAAAGTAAATACACTGCCACATTCACAGAATCCACCTAAGCGGGCATATAATCATAAGCAGTATTTTTCTAAACCTGGATTATATGACAGCTGCCCAACAAGGAGAAATGCCCCTAATAGGCCCACATGCAATGAAGTCTGGTTGTTTTATTTAAATTCTAAATGGGAAGGAAAAATTCTTAACCAAACATTTGAACAGAAACCATCTGATAAAATCTGATAAGAAAAGCAAATTACATGGAGAAAAAGTGTGAAATAATCTCTGTTGTATGTAAACAGTGACTTATAATAGATGTTATATTGATGTCAATTAGGTTGTGCTTACAGTTGATACACACCCACACTCTGTGTGTGTGTTGAGAGAGACTCAGAGATATTTCAAATGAGTAGAACAGTACAAAAACTCACTAAAGTTTATGGAACAATACTGCAGTATTTAAGTCTCCATCCATGAATGCTATCTTGGTTATTAGCGCTTCAGTAAAAATTGTGTATACTCTCACTTGTGCAAAGGCTTTTTAGTGCTAAATTAATGCTATACACGAAAGATAAATCTTTGCTATTGTCTGTCACATCAAAACTTTGACTTTTTTTATAGTATTGAAAAGAATGAATCAAACAATCTGACACAATTAATGTTGGTTTTAAAAATCAGTTTTCTGTAGATGGGTTTGATGAGTATCAATAGATAGAAGAAATAAAAAATAAGCCGCAATCTTCCACCATTGATAGGAATAAGATGAGAGAGAGTGAAAGAGTTCAGATAGATGCTACATAAGAGAATATAGATAATTAGAGACACTGCAGACTTTAAGGCTGGGTGTACACAGTGAGAGTGCGAACACTCAGGAGGTGGACTGCACTACGAGCCGGCAGCAATCGCACGAGCTTTCGCCTTAAACACAGATATATGTTGCTGCTACATAGCTTCGGATAGAAAAAGAAAAAGAGTGTGCAAATTATTTGATGAATTGCAGAGACAAGCCCTGTTCTACGGGGGTGTTCAAACGAAAGCCAAGAGAGCACCCTCAGTTGAAGCTGTAATAATAATATTACAGATTTGGCAAACAATCCAGTGCCTATTTGTGTCTTCGCTCTGGAGTGTCAAAAGTTTTGCTTTACAATGTGTTTTTGCAGCGGTGAGCAATCACTAACATATTTGTTCATTTCTTGAACGCAATGACCAATCAGAAGCAATTATGTTAGATTATGTTAGAATCCACTCACCGCTCACAAAGCTGGAGCTTTGTCCAGTGTTGAATTATCATTAGTGTGCGAACCATCTCATTATTACAAAGTGTAGACGCAATGTAAGAAGAGATTCATTGTGCAGTGTAGAGCTACATTGACTATAACGGAACTTGAGATCGTGATGAACTGATGAGTGACAGCTTTTTAGTGATTAGGGAGAACTCTGCGCAATAGCAATGAATGGCACAAAATAATTGTTAAAATAGATGTGCTTTAAGGCTAGAGCACCCTCACTCATTTCAGAAGCCCCTTCAGTGAAGCACATTCAGCAGAGAACAGCATAGAGATTCCTTTCAACAAAAACAACTAGAGAGATTTGTGTGTGTGTGTGTGTGTCGGTGTATGCACAAGATATCGCCTAGTAGCCACTGAGCTATAATAATATACATAGATAAAGCGTAAATCATGTGGATGTATTTGATTTGGTACTGTAATATTGGAGAGCCTATACACTGGTCAAAATCGGGTCGACTCCCTGAATTTTTTAAACATGTTTAAAAATGATCGGGAGCTCATGAGGTGCTCGGCTCAGCTTGTAAATTCCACGATGCGATGCTCACACGATGTGAGCCATGACCATATCAGCTTCAACGATTTCCCTGTGATTTCTCCCAATGTGAGTAAAATTACGTACGAATTCGTACGACAGCAAAAAACGATTCACTCCTTTACATGGATGAGAATGGAAATAAAGGAAAGAAAGAGGTAGAAATAGCTGGTTTCTACACATGCATACTCAGACTCACCAGGGCAGGGTAGGAGGGGTATCCACTACATTTAGCCCAAACTAGTTTGAGAGGTTCCAGAACTGTAGCAGCACTAGCAGGCATCCAAATACTGCTGTTGCCAACTTCTATAAAAGCAGGAATATCAACAACCATGTTATGATGATGCAGACATATAATATATATTTCTATATTGATATAGCAAATAATAATAATAAAATTTCAATAAATAGAAATTCTGAATAAAGAAATTTATTCAATAGAAATTATTTGCACTGAAATCTGATTTTTATATAGTGGACAATAGGGGTGAAACGATAAAAAAGAATTACTGTTCTGTAAAACTCGGTTTAAAAGTCACAGTTCAGTACGTTTTCAGTACAGGAAAACTAAACATAAAATTGCTTTTTTTCCCCCTTTTTTTTTATTAAATAGTGGTTTACTGCACAAACTGTGGCTCTGTCTTGAATTCAATTGAATGAATTCAATTATAATGACAATTTTCCTAAGGATTAAAAAAAAATCTACAGCGAATGCTGTAAACTACAGGGAGCCCAATTACTTGCACATTACTACATTATTAAAGGCTACAATTAACAACAGAGCCCGAACTATTCAATTGCTATTTATTTTTAGATATAATAATCAACTCTCAAATTAAAAAGTGTATGCAAACATGGACATTGCACCTAAGGTATAAATCTAATTATAAAATTATGTTTCTACTCCTTCATTGTTGAAATATAACCATTTACACAATGGCTTCATAACTCATTTTCATGAGATTTATTTAAACATACACTAAATAATTAAGACATTGCTAAAAGGTTAAGTAAAATATAGCAAATATATAGGCTAACATAGTGCATATATTTAGTGAAATGCTCTTTTATAGAATTAATTTCTCAAGTGAACTAACAAGTTGTAACTGAATGACTTGCCTGAGGTAAATGTGTACAAAGCTTTTTTCTGTACAAATACATGTACCATTACACCCCTATAGTGAACAATTAGATTCATAACATTTAATGCAAAAAATAAAACAATAAAATGTTTAAAATTATCATGAATCCGTGTATCATTCGATCATTCGTTTTTTGATTTAATATTGAAAGTAGAAAAATTAGAAAACGGCTCCTTTTTCGTTCTTTTGTTTTTTTTCCGAAAAACGAAAAACGAGAATTCAGCTTAAATTTTCGTTTTTCGTTCATGGGTGGAAAAATGAATAAACAGCTTGAATATTCGATTTCTACACGTGGGCGGGAATTAAACGCCCCTTTCTGCTGATTGGTCAGCCGAAGATCAAACCGTGCCTTCATCAGTTCTTCCACAGTATCAGGCAGCAGAATAATAGTCCTCCACTGCTGCAGTTGTACGGATTAATAACCCATTTTATCAATTTCATATTTTTCTCATCAAACAGACTAATGAATAGCTCGACACAACTCGTACCGGGGCAGAGTCTAGACAGGGCTTTCTTCTGTGTAGACCAGCGGTTCTTAAAGTGATAGGGGGTCCGAGAAATAATTAGCTATAGCCTAAAGTATTTCCAGACTGTAAAGTCGCTTTTTTTATCATGATACATAGGCCTACTGTGATTTATTCCAAAGTGACTTATATGATTGTTTTAATGTCAAATCATCTAAATGAAGCCTTTTAAAAGATAAGTATTCGCTGTGGTTCATGTTTGTGGCATGTTGCAGAAAGATGCTCAAGGAGACCGAGATGAGCTAAAGCAGCGCATTCTGTTGTTCTCTTTATTTTTCAAAGGCATGACATTTTGTAGTTATTTTGAACATAACGTTACACAATTAAAAATATACATTTCATGTAGAAATCGAATATTCAAGCTGTTTATTAATTTTTCTATCCCTGAATGAAAAACGAAAATTTTAACTTGAATTCTCGTTTTTTTGGGGAAAAAAACCCCCCGAAAAAGGAGCCATTTTTTCATTTTTCTACTTTCAATATTAAATAAAAAAACGAATGATACACGGATTATCATGGCATGTTTTCATGCATGTGGACATGGTTCTTCATTAAACAGTTCCAGTCCTCTAATCTGGCATCCGATAAGAGGCATCAAAATTAGTGCCTTTTCTAATATTACCACTACACCTAAAGCTGCACTATATATATATATATATTATTATTATTTTATTTTATTTTTTTAAATCATGATTATTTGGTCATTCTGAAGCAAAATAAATACATTTCAGTGATTTACAAAACCGCTAGGCTACTAAAAATAATGTGTTTTTAAAAGTTCAGACAAAATTACATTTACTTCAGTCTATTAAAAAAAACATATAATATTTAACATATCAAATCTACTTATAAACAAAAAACATAGCATAGCCTCATTTGTTTACATTGAAATGCAGAGCAGCAAAATCTTTCTTAAAAAATATCCTATCCACTGTCATTTGACTGACTGTCAAACTAGGATCAAATTACAGTTCAGGTAAAAGTGTATAATAATAATAATTAT